ACAGCACATTGTTGAACATTGTTTCTGCAGTCTAAAGTGATTATCAGACTTTTATAGAAATCATGCCTTTGACTCATAATGTAACTTACATATAGACCATTTGGTCCATCACTTTCTATAGCTCACACTTTTGTTCTTAAGGAATGACTCCATTGGTTTTCCATTGAGTGTATTATGTCCAGCCTTGGAGGATCACATTTTAGCCAACTCCTCTAAACAGCCTTTTCAATTTTACAAATCCTTTTAATCAAATTATTTTTAATCAAAACTTACAAACCAAATAAATGTGAAATTGAGCTGATTCTTATTCTTATTTTTTCCACAGCTCAGCAGAAATCTGATCACTGTTGAGTTTTATTCATGTCTCAGCTAAAGTGTGCATTAAAGATCAAGTCTCACCATTCTGGCAAACAGCTCGTGCAGTTTCTCGGCATTTTCTTTCACAGTCTCGTAAGCCTTCAGCTGCTTTTTGGTGTTCTTTAATTTGACTTTTCCTTTCAGGAGCCTCTGGACATATTCCACTGTCACTTCCTGGTGAAGCTGACCAATCAGCTCCTGAATTTAGCCCAAATATATAAGTAATCAGAGCGCATCATAATCCTTTTACTTAAACATTAGCAATGAAGGCAATAATGGCCATTCAATCCATTATAAAGTTTCCTCCTTTTACCTGGTAAGAGGACTGACTCGAACCCTGAAGTTCTTGAAGCTCGTCTTCAGTGCTGTTCAGCAGCTTCTCAAACGTCTTCTTCTTCAGCCAGTCACTGGTTCCCAGTTTCTGGTAGTGTGGCTGTGTGAGGAACAAATAACAAAGTTTTTTAAATCTTTGATTAAGACATGTTAGGATTTAAGTACTCCTGAGGATTATTGATATCTGCAGTTGTAAAGAACTTACTTTGAGGATCTTGTGCACAGGGGTTAATAAATAAGTGTGGGCAGACTGTTTCATCTCAGTCAGGACCTGCAAACATTTTTTCTTCACATCCTCTGGGAACAGATCGTGCTCCACAAAGAAGTCCCTTTAGACAGACCACACAGGACACATTAGCTCACAGTGACGTATTCGCCTGTTATGATGAAGATAAAATCTGAATTTCCATCTAACTGGATCAGAAACATACCTGAACTGTTCGACACAGCTGAGGTTTGCCTTTATGAAAGCTTTGCTGTGC